TTATAAAATATAAATAATATAAAAAAACCAAAACTCGTAAGAACTCCACCAAATATGCGCTTAACCAATTGTCTTTCTCCATGTTCTACTCACCCTTGCGATATCCTACACAGCTTGCTGCTTGCTGCTGCTGTGTGCCGTACTGCTACAGTAGCAGCGGCTGACATGGAGACGGTCTCCTTTTTCATTTTTTATGGTTTCTCCTATTCCTTTATTTGATCTCGTGATTCTTGTTTTGTCTTTTTCCCTCCTTTCATATCATATGTTCATTTCCTCCCCTCCATTCCTTTTTCATGTTACATACATATTTCTGAGAATAATTCCTCAAACCCCAAACATCAATCTTTTGGCGTTTCCCTTGCCCCTCATCATTATTATTAGTCCTTCTATTTCTTGTTTCATGTTCTTGTCTCCTTTCTCTTTTCCTCTTCCAAATTTCTTTTTGTTTTTAATTTTACTTACATGTGAATAATACATTGAAATTAATATTTATCAGCCAGATTTATAAAAAAATTAAGTAAAAATTTATTTTAAAATTATATTATTTTAATAAAATATTATTAAAAAATAAAGTATTATTAATTTTATTTTAAAAATAATTAAAATATTTATTTTTTAATAAAATTTTATTAAAATAATATAATTTTAAAATATTTTTTACTTAATTTTTTATAATACAGATTACAACTCACTTTTATGTAATCCACTACATGTATCAAAAAAATTAATTACCACCGCTCTCTCTAACTACTTTATCATTGGCACTAATCAGTTACCTCGCTTGATTAACCTCTATAATCATTTAATAATTATCAATGGTGGGTCCGATCTCATTAACGGGCATGATGTATGAACATGAACATGAATAGGAAGAAGGTGGAATCTTTTGTTTTGATTGGAAAAGGAATAAGGGGCCTGCAGAGAGTATGGAAATCTAGAGAACAAAGGTCTGCTCAGCAACTTGGACAGAGATCCCACACCGCTCGGGCAAATTGCCTAGCGGCGGTAATCCGCCCCCAAAAATTCGCTGGATAAAGTTTTCCTTCTCTGAGAGAGTATTTACTGTTAGTAAAGTGGGATGCGCTGGAATTATTAGTTAAGTATATTAATTGTTTAAGTAATAAAGTGATTAGAAGAGCGTTAAATATAAAATAATAGTAATTAATTAAGTATTTAAAATAATTAATTTTAAATTTGTTTAACAATAAAAAAAT